CGAAAAAATGATGTCCTTCGAGACCGCCTCAGATTAAATCCGTCCTCAAAAACTGATCAAAGGGGTTTGAGAGAAGGTAGACTGAAGGGAACCGCATCCAAAATGAAGTTCTTTGTGGGATGTCTGAACGGCAGCCATGGCGAGTTCTTTAGCTCCAAAGGCGAAAATTAAAAAAACAAGCAGCGGAAACCTAGGCAAGGCAGCAATTACCAATCAGAAGCTGTGATCTAACCTCTCATAATCACTACCATGAAAGCCTCACCCTTCGACAATCTGTTTACGCACTATGCCTTCCTAGGTCGCGCAGTGGTTGCAACGTTTGAGAATTAGCTAGATTACTTAGTCTGGACCTTCGGGTCAAGACTAGGGGGAAAGTAAAGGACTAGATTTCGGTTCTGGACGTTCTGATTCGATGGCACGATTGCGATGTCCACCGGAATGGTTTCTTTTGAAAACCAACAAACATTCTACATGTGACCTGAAGTGGAAGCATTCGCACCATGGTGCAGAAAAAGGCAGTTACACCCTGGCTGGATAAGTGATAGTTCGGTCATCGCAAGCGACAATTTCCACCGGCTGCCCCACGGAGTGGACGCAGAATCGACCACTTGTGTGCGGATGAAATTGCGGACTTACACAGCATCTACGTTACTCTTTCCCTCTTCACGCGACATGTTCCAGTGGTACCGCAAGATCAAGAGGACGAGAGGTGGGCGCAGGTGCGGTGACTGGCCAAGCTAAACAATTCGTCTGCAAGTGTCACGCGCAGGCCCTGTCAGGTACCGATTACATCTACCAAACTACAATATGACGACTCGGACTTCACATTAGTTAGAGCGCCACAAAGGCCGCAATGAGAACCATTGCGGCTTAACTCTCAGGGCCGAAGCAGAGGGAGCGTTGGCAGTAACGACGAACAGCGCATCGGAATATATATATCAGATGGTAGCGACAAAGATAAGGGAGACCGGAATGGCCATTTCTGGCTTATTAGCCGTCATCAGCCAGTCAAACTTTATTTCGTAATAAAGTTTGTTCATTTTCCTAAAGGACTCATTCTTCTTTGAAATATATATATATATATATGTAGGGGCTCTTCAAATTTAGTCTTGTGAAGAATACACTGATTCACCATGGGGATGGATCCCCAGCCCCGAAATTTCCCTCTCCCATGTAGCAGTCATAAGGAAACGCAGATCCTGTGCGCAATTTAGTCTCCAGTCGACAATTGACTGGTTGGACGAAAAAGGGGCGTAATTTCAACAATGATCGCCCCGCACTTTTGGAGACGCTGAATGCGTCCAATAGCAGGCATCCGTTTATAGCTGACAATGCAGCCCGATGACTATCTGTCACACACGATGCATGCCAGCAAACATCGTCTGTGCTAATGGACATGCAATAAGCATGGCTCCCCTCTCCTCTCCCCCCCACTCCATCTCTACAACGTTAAGCATCCTAATTTCCCGGCCATTAATTTCATCTTGGGTGACAATTAGCTGGCAAGGTGCATGCCTTAGCACCAACTCATAGTAATATGCTCCAGCGTTGCCATGTGCAACCACGAGCATGGGGGGTCGATTTGCATTTTTGATGAGCTGAAGGGCGAAACAGCCGACAAAGGCCCGGCGATCAAGTGGCGGGTCAATCAACAATGCGAGGGGGCATTGCACCGCGCGCCAACGAGAGAAGTTCCTAAATTGCGCGCACAAGAGTCACACTTCGGGTGGATGGGTCTCTCACTCGTCCCCCTCCCCCCCCCTACAGCACAGAGGTCAGCACTTACGAATCTGTCAGCCTAAGAGGTCCGCAATGACAAGGTGCTCAAAGAACGGGTTCTGGATCCCGTCTTGCAGACTGCTTGAAAAAATTGATCAGCGTGGCCTATCGCATGAAATGTTGGCTGAAATTCTGAAATGCGTTTTCGATTAGGAAGGATTACTTGATCGCGGTTGTGATACTGATTATCTTAAGGCATACTCTTATAACACTTTGGACTCGGCAGGATGTCGGCTTTTGAATGCACCTCTTTTCAATCTCCTGTAGAAATCGTGCTTGGTAAAAAATGACTACTTAAGTAGCATGCATTTTTCCCATTGATTTTTGATGGTCTTGGAAATTCAAATATATTTTATAGAAACCAAAAACAAAAATATGCTTCCTTTTAGTCAGTCAATAGAGAACCACGTCTTCTTTATATTTTATACTTAAGGAAGGAGTATAACTAGGTTTTAAAAAAGTTTTCTAATTGCCGAAAAATTTGAAGCCTGATTATTCGTTGCATTAGCGCTTAGTGATTACACTCTACAAGGTGCATGCGTTCCACGTAAAGGAAATCCCATATTTTTCTATGTTATTAAAGAGATATCATTCAGGGTCCATAAAATTTTTGCAATGGTTGCGGACGATGTTGTACATTTCATGAGGAGCAGTGGTAAACGGCCAGGTACGATGCTATGTGAATGGACATATCGCGGTCTTAAAAAGTCTCATAATTAGAAACTTTTTTAAAACCTAATTATACTCCTTCCTTAAGTATAAAATATAAAGAAGACGTGATTCTCTATTGACTGACTAAAAGAAAGCATATTTTTGTTTGTGGTTTCTATAAAATATATTTGAATTTCCAAGACCATCAAAAATCAATGGGAAAAATGCATGCTACTTAAGTAGTCATTTTTTACCAAGCACGATTTCTACAGGAGATTGAAAAGAGGTGCATTCAAAAGCCGACATCCTGCCGAGTCCAAAGTGTTATAAGAGTATGCCCTAAGATAATCAGTATCACAACCGCGATCAAGTAATCCTTCCTAATCGAAAACGCATTTCAGAATTTCAGCCAACATTTCATGAGATAGGTCACGCACTGTATGGCGGCATATTCCGAGCCTAGTTTTTTGTAACCAACATACACGAACTTCTGGCCTAGCAGTTATGACATCTGCTGCTGCTGCTGCTGCATTTGGCAGCTGTCAAAAGCACACCTTCAGCGGAGACAGGAGATTAGTTCTTAAACGCACACTTCCTATCACCCTATCAGGAAGTGTCGACTGATCTAGTAGATCCGATTAATTTGGTGTTCATCTGTCCTCACTGAAGTTCAGCTCTTCAGTTTTTTTTTCAGTGTCATTCTGAGCACTGGGTGATTAAATGGTTTAAGTCTAGGTGCCATGAGGAGAGAGAGTGGCAGCTGAATGATTAATTTTGATAAAAATGGGCCATTACGATGGGCCAGTTTGCCTCCCAAGACCTCGTGAACTTCGACACCTCAAGTGAGGGGCAATATCTATTTGTCGACACCGGAGATGTGCTTTCGCGGAGAGTCAATTGTCTTTCAGGCTGCAACAGACAGGCACTTTACGAATTTTGTTACGTTGAGTAGGAAAACAATGTCGCGCGCAGGTCACACGTGGACTTAGGAGGACAAATAAAGTTTTAAAATAATTTTACACCAGTCCGGACCCGGAAGACTTTCTGGCATGCCCTAAAATTTTCTGGAATTGAGGCTGGAATTTGCTTCTAGCCCGAAGAAATAGCATAGAATGACCATTTGATGTGTTTGTAAGTCTATGCCTACGTAATCACCCGTAGGAGAACCGAAGCAGAAACATCACCAGGGATATGACACGCTCTGCCATACCTTGAGGGTGTCTCGGAAACGACATACCGCACTGATGCCGGAGTAGGTGCAGAAATTTCACACTGACCAACAGCAACCATGCGCAGCAGAGTCATGAACATCCAAGGACCGATTAAATCCCGTGGTACAGTCGAGGTAGTGTACCGCATCCTGCACCAAAACTGTTCTTGCAACTACACGGGCCGGACTGAACATATGCTTCCTCCGATCGTGCATACAAGGACATAAGCTGGCTCTGGAACGGGACGAGGCACTATCGAAAATGACTGTCTGCAACTTCGAGACGGGTTATAAGTTCAACATTGCGGCCACCAAGATAGCCGCCCACGCCGGAAGTAAGACAAGCCGAGAATTGATTGAGGCTTGAGCCTTGAATGAGACGTTAGGCAATCGATCGAGCGTCCGCATACGCGGCCCTGCGCATCCACCTCCAGACTTGCTTCTTTGATCTCTGGTTGGCTCGCACCCCCTGTAACTGTGGTTTGTTCCGTTGCTGCCGCTCTCTCTGACTATGGGCTCCTGAATGGCTTCCAGAGCTCAGAATAATAAACGAATTGTTCCGGTACTCGACCAATTTTCTACCTGCCCCGTACATACACCTATGACTCGGACATTTGCATTCATTCGCAAGTGCAAATGACAGGAATTACTTTAAAGCAAAGAATTACTTGTAGGTCCCTTTTGATGCGACGTTGTTATTCACATTCATCGCACCGAACATGGTGAACGAAGTCCGGGAAAAGTTACTTGAAGAGGCCCATGAAGATATTCAAAGTTCATTCATAATTAAATGTCTCATGAGGCTGTTCGAATTTTGCCGAAAAACTTACTTCACCTTTGCTGAAGAAACCTATAAGTAGACAAAAGAAACTCTAATGGTCTCCCCCGTCTCGGGTTTAGCGGCAGAACTAGTCCTATAAGACATAGAAGAGAGTGTCGTCATCCAAAATAGACCAGCATTTTGGCACCGGCGACAAGTTTGTTACTGTCAGGAAAAACAAGCTGCAAAACCTCCATAACTTGCTCAACGGGAAAGGAACAAAAGCATCAGCTGCCTATCCTTGATATTCTCGTCTGTCGAAATCCTACTGCTGGAATTGAGACGGCGGTTTGCAGAAGGGCAACGTACACTTCACAACATCCTAGTTTTTACAGCAACTGACCGGTGGTTGACAAACGAATCTGAGTGTGAGAAGGCTCTTTAAACGGAGCCGGGCTCGTTGCAGCAAGCCAGAGGAAAAGGCTCGCGAGGCTTGATGTCCCCGCGACCAATTTATGCGGAATCACTATCCGAAGTCGTTTATAAGCTAATGTCTGAGCGCGTGGCCCGGAGGACCCAGACAGAAACGCCATCGGGGATATGAAGCGTCCTGTCATACCTACATTAATGACGTCTCAGAAGCGACCGAGTACATTTTTGCAGGACAAGATGTTGGAATTGCACACCAGCCCAAAGGTCATGAAAATCAACGGCCGACTAAATCCCGAGGAGCAATCTGAGGAAGTGTATCGCGTCCCGTGCCTAAACTGTCCTTGTAACTGCACAGATCAAGCTGAACCCATGCCCGGGGTGCGCATGCGTGCGCATAATCCGGCTGTGCGACAGGGCAAGGAATTATCGCAAGTGGCTAGCCACGCCTACGCAATGGGTCGCGAGGTCAATTTAGTAACCGTCAAGATAATCGCCAACGCCGGAAGTAAGACAAGTAGCGAATTGATTGAAGCCTCTGCCTGGGATGAGAACTCAGTCAATCGATGTATCGATCTGGCGCAGAGTCCTGTGCAGTCGCCTTCGGACTGGCGTCCTTGAGCGTTGATTGGCTCACGCCGCCCTATAAGTGTGGCTTGTTCGGTTGCTGCTGCTGCTCTCGATCTCTGGCGATGTGGCCCTGCACGAGTTTGAAGGCGCAGACTAATAAACACATTGTTCCGATGCTCGACCAGTCTTCTACCTTCCTCGTGCGTCCTCCGGAACTCGAACATTCGTCTCCGTGCGTGAAACTGCACGATGTCAGCAAAAATCGTGTCTGGTCAAATTAATCACAAAAGCAGGTGACGATAACCGAATGCGTCTGACTTCTAACTGGTACCTGTGCAGAGATCACGGTAAAAAAAAAGTCTACCAACAAAATACGTATTACTGCCAATTTGCCGCCGAGGCTAGTTGAGAATAACTTAGGAATTTCGGATCAGGTGACTGTGAGATTGAAAATATCTTTCAGCTAAAAATATCACACAAGTTCATTGTCGTTTAACGGGACAGAATAGCGGCTGAAAACCTGGTGGACGTCAACCTGACGTACATAAACATATTTTGCGCAGGATTAAAAGAATACGAAATCGAGCAATTCGATACCAAAAAAATAGTAGTACGGCAGAGCGTGCGACGATCTCCGTCATTTTTGTTCCCGTCCCCGGTTTTATTTATCTCAGCTAGGAATCAACCCACGTCATATAGAACCCTGAAATAAACCATCTCGCGGCGCAGAGCTGATGTTGGAGGAGGAGGAGGAGG